GTGTGTGTGTGTGTGTGTGTGTGTGTGTGTGTGTGTGTGTGAGCACGATTGTAAACTATTGTGATGGTATGGGTGTGTGAGGGGGTGGGGATGGAATATCCATTTTTATTGCATCACCTGTCAGCGGCGTCCAATGGGCGTCGACTCCGAGGGCATTAATTGATGAAGGTGTCTCCAGACTGGCGCACCTCCCCTCTCTGTCGTTTTATTTGTGGCTTAACCAGCAGCCAGAATAGCAGCTGCATTTTAGCTCTTATTCTGTTTCTCTCTCTCTCTCTCTCCCTCCCCTCTACCCTCACAACTCCGTCTCCCTCCCTCTCTCTCTCTCTCTCTCTCTCTCTCTCTCTCTCTCTTCTCGCTATTTTATCCCTCAGGCTGAGGCAGTGGTGTACACCTACCCCTCATCCTGCTGCCGACCAGAGGGGAGTGGAGCCGGCAGAGGCAGGTAGCAGCAGCCCCGGCTTGGTGGACGCATCGGTCGCATTCCTTCACCATGCCGAACTGGGGCAAGAGGCGACGGGTGGATGCTGCCAGATCCTTCAACCTATTACACACCGGCAGCTCCATTTAAGTCCCGCATGTCAAAGTTTGCATTTTCATGACGCAGCATCAGCGGCAGCGTGGATGGATTAAAGGTATGAGCAGGATGCCTTAAGCTCGCCACCCCGTGCCATGTACTGGTAAAGCCATAGTATACTGAGAGTCACTACATGGATTGATACATTTGGAGCGGATACATACAACATGGGAGACCTGGAGTGTGGCTTTGAGGAAATGCAAGGCGTGAGATTGGGGTACCTGCTCATCAGAGGCAAGCAAATGTTTGCTTTGTCTCAGGTCTTCACCGACCTGCTGAAGAACATCCCTCGGACCACGGTGCACAAGCGCATGGACCACCTGAAGGTGAAGAAGCACCACTGTGACCTGGAGGAGCTGCGGAGGCTCAAAGCAATAAACTCTATAGCGTTCCACGCCGCTAAATGCACTCTGATATCGCGGGAGGACGTGGAGGCTCTGTATTTCTCCTGCAAGACGGAGCGGGTGTTGAAGTCCAACAAAAGGAAAGCGAAAGCTGCGTGTTCCCCCGGGGACGCGGAGGCAACCCCGGGACTCCTCCGTGCCGACGCCGAACTGTGGAAAGAAAAAGTTTGGTTTAGTTTGCACGGCGTCCCAGAGACCCTCACGCTCCACGACAAAACGGGCAGGAGGAGGGAGCTGCCGCCTTGCCTTGCCGACTCCAAACTACCTCAATTTTACAACAAAACCCACGGACGGGAGTACCGTTCGGTGACCAAGTCCGGTCACAAACACTTTAAAAACTATGAAACAGCAAAAATAGCAGGGAACCGTGTGACTCTGAGCCAAAGGCAGTCTTTTTTCCGTAGCACGGTGAGCCGGCAGCCGGCGGCGCATCAGTCCGCCATAGCTGCTCAGTCCAGGCTTTCGCGCTCAGCCGGCGACCTACTTCACAAAAGGAAGAGGAGGCGCGAGGGGGGCGGCGGCAGGGACAGCGCGAGGCACTCGTGGAGCAGGAGCAGACACGCGCACCACGTACCGCCGGGGCTGCTCGTACAAACCAAATCGTCCGGAAGTCAGGGGACCTCTTTCGGTGCTCTCCACCTCGGTCCGGATTTCTACCTTGACCCCAGACCTCACCATCACCACCACCACCACCATCACCACCACCACCACCACGAGCCGAGTTTCCCGGAGAGCTGCAGCAGCGATACCGAGTCCAGCACCTACTCGGACCGGGCGTACCCGGACTCGGACTTCGGCTCGGGCCTCTCCACCACCAGCAGCAACTCCGGGAGCTCCGAGGAGGAAGAGGGGGGCGAGGATGAAGATGACACGCAGTCAGAGAGTTCAGAGGTCAGCTCGGACGAGGAGGAGAGCTCCTCTCAATCCGACTCGAGCTCCGTGTCGAGCCGCGTGTCGGTCCAGAGCATTCGGTTCAGACGGGCCAGGGTCGGTTCTCTCGCCAAAAGCCTCAACCCCAGCAAAGCACCTTTAGTCCTGGAGCCCACGTTTCACTACAACAACCAGCATCGACATGAGAAACAGCACAGGACCCTGGGCCATGTAGCCGCTGCACAGACAGGGGACAGCAGACAGCAGAAACGTCACAAATGTGAGTTTATACGCGGCGAAAGTAGACAGGACTTTGTGCCCTTACAGCCACCCAAATTTAACTCGACTGTTATGGGGGAGAGCTTCTTCACCGAGTCCAAACGGGAGAAGGCGTTTGAGGCAGATCCAAACAGGGCTGGCCACGTGGACGAGCTGGCCCCTTATTCACGGGGACCCGCCCGGTATAAGGCTTTTAACCCCTCGTGCAGGACACCGGGGCATCCCACCAAGTGCCCGCCGGGACTGAGCGCACAGTGTGACCGGGTCAAAGACGCCAAGATATACAGATGTGGCGACAAAAGGGAGGCGAAAACCGGCAGCCTAAATCTGCCCGCTTCGCTGAAAAAAATAAAGACCGAGCCAGAGGAGCTCTCTGTGACCGCCCCCCACCATCCGGACAGCGGCGGGACAGCCGGGACACCGCCCTTCAACCTCCACAATGTTAAAGTTAAAGTGGAGGAAAGCTGTGATGAATATGAATACCAGAGCCAGGCTACTGTAGTCAAATGCAAAGGAGATAAGGCGGAGAGCACCAGCGGCCAGTATCCCATCAAACACGGGGACTTTTTCAGCAGTGGGATTAAAGCCACAGAGAAGAGCCCCGATGTGGCCCCCAGGTCTCCGTGCGGTCCTCAGGAATACGGGAGCACCCAGGACACCCTGCGTATCGTGGAAGCGGAGCATAGGAACAAAAACTGCAGGGTCACGGTGCTCGGGAATAAAAAACCTCGAGTTTCCAGGACGCAATCAAAACTAAACATGCCCATAGTCAACAAGACTGTATTTTCCTCTTCTTCCTCCTCCTCTTCTTCTTCTCCTTCTTCGTCCTCTTCTCGTCCCTCGGGCAGCGAAGAGGTATCCACGAAGGATTTACCAAGCAGACGCAAACGCAGCAACGCGAGCACCGCAGCGTCGCCTGCGAAAACGCCTTTCAGCCTGATCGCGAATTTCCCTTCCCCGCCGTCGCTGGTCGTCGGCAGCGACGGGGATCTGTGCCCTGCTTACTCCCTGAACTCGCTGAGGGGCCCCGGGCCTCCCCCTCCGTCCCACCCCGTGTGGAGGTGGCAGCCAGGCGGCCAGATTCTCCCTCCCCCACTCGCTCAGAGGACTAGGAAATACTGAGCTGGTTTTTAAAGCAAAAAAGAAACAAAACAAAAACAAAAGCCCCCACCGTAACCACCTCCAACCTAATCGTAGTCTTAACGAGAGCTCACCAAATTGCTCGCAACTTTATCGGGGTTTGCTATTTTTTTTTTTTCTGTGAATGGGTTTTTACATTCCGCTTTGTTTTTTAAGTTTTGATCGAGAAAAAACACACAGGATCCCTTTTGGAGCATCAGAAATCGCCCACTGGACTGCGAGACACCGCTCGTGGATTTATGCTTAAAAAAACGTGTGTTTTGAAATAAGCTATCAATCCTAAGCAATACGTTAGGTTCTCGTTGTTGCGTTTACGTGACTCTTTTCTGATTCTGTCTTCTCCGCTTTTCTATGCTCGACCTGTTGGATTGTATGGTGCCAGGGTTTCAGTGGGTTGTGCTTTGTCTGAAAGTGGAAAGAGGTTAAAATAAATAAATAACCTACAGTACTGTGGCTACCTTTAATCTAGCTGGGACTGGGAAAAAGTTTGACTTGGCAAATCAAAAAAAAAAAAATCAGGGTTTCCCATTCTGTGCCACCTGGTATATTTTATATATCAAATCTGTTTTCTTTCCTCACAATGGCCCATGTGTCCAAGTGTTCAATTTCAGAGAGTGATTAAAAATTGGTTTAATGCTGTTATTTTTTTTTAAAATCTATACATACTCACAGTTAAGCCTTTATTAGATTTTACAGGAACCTATTCCTGGTGGTTGTGTTTTTTCCCCTTTTTTTCTTGTGATTTGGTTTTTTTTTAAGTCTTGTTTTTATTTCTGCCGAGTATTTCCTGGTTTGCATTTGTGTTACTGTGTACAGACGCAGGCCTATACACACCACAGGCCTTATGTACAGACAATCAAAAAGAATAAGGCTCAGCCCTTTATAGCACGCTAGACTCCACTCATGCCCCCCCCCC